AAAAAAATACGAAATTTTTTAGTGCTATATATTGGAATTAAATTAGAATTGGAACTGGCTTTTCTTACCGAATTTTATTAATTAAGGAATTTGATTTGAGAAAATTCTGTTGAGGAAGAAGTGTGAGTGCGTATGAAGAATTTAAGCAAAGAGCCTAAGAATAGAAATGATCATATTTGAGATGATTTTAAATTCTATTTAAATATTAATCATTTTAAATAGAAAATAGAGAAATATATATTATTTTAGAAAAAATTATGAGAACTAACTAACTGTGTGACTGTTAAATAGTCATATTTTTATAATTTTTATGATTCAAAATCTTTGTCTCTTTAAATTTTTCAGTAGTCCTGATGATCTGTCGTTTCCTGAAATCTATGGCGAAAGCGTCATCCCTAGATAATACTCTGACAAACGTATTCTGGAACACAAAGCTTCGTATCATTTTTACTCAAATCTTTATAAAGCTTCATACATTTTTATTCAAATTTATATGTTATCCTCTAAAATAGTACTTACTATAATTAAAAATATGAAAAAATATTTACAAAATCTAATGGTAAAAAAAAAAAATCACTGAAAAAAATGGAAGAAATAAAAATCATTTTTTCTAATTCAAACATTGATCCTAATTTTAATTTCTGTTAAAATAATTTCCATTGATAATCGTAAAATGTTGAAAATACTTCTTTTTCTGTTATAAATCTATATAACGCGCAAAAGCTCGATGGCAGTCCATATTTATATAGTCAAAGAGGTTGACAGATCGACGTTCAGTCGCGCCTCGTTCGCCTTGTGCCGATGAATATTTCAGTCAGTTCTGGCTTCAGCTGTCAGTCCACGGGACAGGATGCGCGAGAAAGAGAGGAAAGGGTGGAAGCATCAAGGGGGAAGAGAGGTAAATCGTTTCTATGTATAGAGAGATGTATGGCCCGACGAACTTTCGACCTGAATGACCTGGGCTCGGGATGCAGACACCTCAGCGAATTTCCACCTTCCACGAAGGAACCTCCCCCTTTGGCCTGCAACCACCTAATGATCGGTTTTAATTCAGGATACCAGACAATTGTCTATGAATAACAGGAAATTGCATACATATTTACTTGCGTACGTCCTAGATCAACGAGCGCTCCGATATGAGTTCAGATAAACAGTGCTCTTCACTTAATAACTTGAAATTCCATTGAACAAAATGAGCATCGTTTTAATCCTTCTATCCTGAAATTTTATAATTAGGTTAGAGACTAAATTAGTTCAAAACACATATGAATTATGAAACTTACCAATAGCATGCGATATTCGAATTATTAATCACGTTAATATGTTAGCATCAAAAGAAGTTTATTTAAAAGAAAACAACTAGATTTACGACAACGTAATAGATTATCGAAAAATTTGCATTAAAAAAAATTTGAAGATTATGTAATATTGCTATATTATATTGCTATTAATATTACATATACATATACAATTTAAAATTAATATTACAATAGTATTTTAATCTGTTCTGATATAATTAAATAATTAAGTGGCTCGAAATTGATGATTGTTATCATTTACAAAAATAAAATATATTTGTTAATGTTATTTAATGAATGTTATGTTAATGTTATTTAAATATGAATTAGATGAGACCTAATCTCATATGTGATATCAAAACTTCTAGACATAAATTCCAACTATTAATTGAAACATCTAGATGAATATATTTATTTCATATATATTCCTAAATTATTTTCCATTATGTTATTTTTAAGTTTTGTGTTTCAAGATTATATCATTATTTACATTTGAAGTTGATCAACTTGTCAAATTCGGTAAAATACAAATAGAATCGCGCGAAGTGCAGAAACTGATTTCACAGGTTATCCATATGACGAATTAAATTGAGGATAATTGCGAATATCAACTTACTGCTTTTGAATATTCATCAGGATTGTGAATGGATCGTTAAACTTAACAATTGTGATGTTATAAAATTGCTTATCAATTATTTTGTTATAAAATTTTTCCACTATGAAATAATCTATCATTATATTATAGTCAACCAATTAATTGTTCAATATTTCGATTTATGTTTGATTTATATAATTTGTACTTGTACTTACATATATTATTAATTTTATAAATAATTCAATAAAATTTAAATTTCTCTTTTCATTGATAAGAAATCGTTTCGTTATTGAAATGTTACATAGTTATACAGTATTGGTTGATAAAAATATTTACATTACAAATATTAAATGATCGTTGAATCTTTTAATTTTTAATGATTTTTTATAATGAAATTTTTTTTTAATTAAAATAAATTAATGAGGTATATAATAATTCTGATTATTTGTTATTAATACTAAACAATTTTTCTTATATGATATAAATATATTCTATTTGAAATAACAACTACAAAAGATATATTATAATTTATAATAAAATAAATATAAAAATTATTATAGATTCAATTTATTTTAATTTTAATTTAAAAATTTTTTTATTTTATATAATTAAAAGTAAATAATGAAATAAATTAAAATACTAGAAAATGTGTATAAATGGATTTTCTTTCATTTCTTGATAAAATTGCAGATATTCACACATATAATTACATTTTATATATAAATTTACAATATGCTTATAATCATTGAAAATGTTCATATTATAATTATATATATTATTATTTATATATTATTTGTTGATAATTATTTTATGGGTAAAGATAAAAATTCTATATTTAGAAGGAATTTTTTTCAATTATGTATCTTTTTTTTTAAATTATATTATTAGTATAATTACAAATATTATTATAATTAGTATATTTATAATTTAAGAAAATATTTGATTTTAC